CTCTCTCTCTCTCTCTCTCTCTCTCTCTCTCTCTCTCTATATATATATATATATATATATATATATATATCTGAGGTTTGAAAAACTCCTCTATAATATACATTAAAATTGTGAAGCAACTTTATTGAGGAGGAGGAGAGATAAAATTCAAAGTAGTGTCGGCAAGTTGGAGGAGTGAGAGCACCTCAGTTTGCACACGCTGGTTGGCAGATGCGGCATCGGCGGCTCTGACGAGGAGGAAGAGCCTCTTAACCTCCGGTTGAACCCTCAGCACCTTCTCCACGAATACTTCCATCCCAAACCAACAAGAAGACAAAGCAGAAAACACAGAAAGGTCAGTAAACATTGTAAAGCACAGTCTGTGTCAGTGTTTGTCTGAGACGAGTACTTTTTGCCAAGAAGCCAGTGGATCCAGTGATCAGAATGCTCTTGTCCTTCAAGAACTCCAGTATTCTGCTGCTCTCCATGTCACAGCTCTTATCCTCAGAGAGAGAGAGAGAGAGAGAGAGAGAGAGGATAGAATTGGTCACCTGAGGCAAAGTTTGGCATATAAATAGCTGAAGAGACAAGCAGAGGTAGAGTACACGAAAGACTGGGAGTGGTTTAGATACGACGTAAGGGATCAGCCGACGAAGCTGGTGAGTGACCCCAACGACAAGAGGCATTGAATTGGACGCGAGACGAGTTACTCGTGTACCCCAACACTGTACGGGTGCTGTGCGACCGTTCACATGCATGCTTCGTCCTTCCTCACTGTTCCTTCATGCACCTCCAGCTCCAGTTAAACCCTTCCTTCTTTCTGACTCATCTCTTTGGCTCATGACAGACTTCAAAGGGTAACCAATATAATAGCATCATTCCCAGTCGCAAAACGACAGTCTTAATGCATAACATTTAGAGATAACAATGGTCCGGCGTGGTTAAATTGGATCATGATTGATATATTTTCCTAAGCTGGTCGGGTTTCGTAGTCCCATGCATACAAATGATCACCTATCAAGATATTATGAGGTGGAGCCCGATACCGAGTCGGCAACGACCTACCACGATTTATACCTCTCTTTAAATTTTGTACGCCTTGGTTGGCAATCTTATAGATTTCACATTAGTTCATAAGGAATATTTATGGATGCACAGTTATCACAACTCCAAACCTCGGTTTTAGCAACCAAAGCTCCTATCAATCGAATACCAATCAACTCTTTCAAAGTTGGAGATCTCACCAACACAAAAAGAGATGATAAGGAGCCAAATGTAGCATAGTCTTTACAAAAATTTCACCTCTTGACATCAGTTTGCAGGTCTTTGGCTTGCTCATGAAGGTTTGAGTTCCTTCACCTACACATATTTATAGAATGACAGCAACAGCTGACTTTCCAGATAAACTGCATGAACAGGCGTGCGGCTGGCTCAGAGCAGCGATATGCTTTGGATTACAAGAAAAGAGAAGTTTAGGTTATCATCTCCAACTCACTTTCACCAAACAAGATTTGCCTACGCATCAAATCCATGTGTAACTCGGTTTCTTCTCGATCCCAGCATTGACTTCATCAAACAAACATCTCTTTCCCCATTAATGACAAAGTGGTGATCTAGCATCGGTCCAAGCCGGAAGGAGCTTCCCTGCAGACACCTGTAAACCAGCAGCAAGTGATAGGTACCAAGTGTGGAAAGATTAAATAAACATTAGATTAAGTGTTTGATTAGTACAAGGAGTTCTGATGGAATTACGTTTGGCTATGGTCTTTGCTTTTATGGCTTATGGTTCGTTAATTATGAGAGGTCGGCAGTGATGAATCAAAACTTCCTAGTGTTTGGTGTCTCTACTATTCCCTCTTCTCTATCAATCGATACATCTGTCAACTGATAAAGTGGCACGAAACACTGGTGCCAAGTTTATTTGCGTGCACTGCGGCAGTAAAGAGTTGAAGATTGCTAATGCCCATTTGAGTACACAAGTGTCCTTTTTTACCTACTGGTGCTAAACTTTCTCAGGCACAGTAGGCTGAGTTCAACTTGAAGACTAGCTTTAACTTGTGTTGGTTGACCTAATTTTGAGCTGTCATTGGATAAACATCATGGTGTCTTGCACTCCTGATGTTGATCTTTTGGCCATTCTTTGTCACCTGCAGTTGTTCAGATGGAAAGAACGAAGAACTCTTGTTTGTTTCTTGTTTCTTTTTTTTCCTTTGATATGCCAAAATGAAGAAAAGAAACAGTCTCTTCTCATAACTACTAATTAATATATCAAATTAGTACAGATGTGACAATACACAAAAAATATATGATGGCTACACCTTCGAATCAATGAATCTAAAATGATGTTCTATAACCTCTATTCACAACGCAGCTCATGTCCATGGCTTCCAGGTGTCCATCTACATCATAGAGTAGCAACCACAGACTATCTTACCATGACACTAACATTCACCTTCTGTCTTATATACACATAAAACTATCCAATTTCATCATGTCATTAGGATTTGATGGTTATGTGCCTAACCTCTGCTTAATCCTCCATAACGCTAACATATATTACTACCTTCCTAGTTGTTATGGTAAAGGACCTACCTTAACTTGAGATCAGATCTTCCGCCATGGGAATAAAAAGAAGGAGACTTAATAAACAATAATTTACTCCATTGGAGACTTTTACTCTTGGAGAACAAGAAAAGGGGAACATTTAATTCTGATGTTTATTGAGGGAGAAGGTTGATGACCAACCCACTATGCATTGCCTGTTGAAAGGAACAGATAACAATTCACATCATGAGGGATGACAACATTTAAGTGGTTCAGCCATTACGATAAACTGTGGCACCTGACTGACTCCATATAGTTTGACCAAGAATTCAAAAATGCTTAACCTTGTTTTACTGCATTAACTTTTATGTAATGCATGTTTTCTCTCTGTGCCTTGAGACACAACAGAAACAATTCTTAACAGAGAATGCAGTCTTTAAGTCTCTAAGCTTACAATCAAATTCTATTTGAAACTGACTCAACAACTGTGAACAGAGAAATATAATATTTTATGGGTCGAATCCTTTCTCCCAGAGTTGGACTGTATTTTGCATAACGATCTACATCAATCCTTTTGTAAATCCTTGAAATCTTAATAAGTTCTTCTTTTGAAAACAAAAAGTCTCTAAGCTTATTCATCTACCATCACTCATATAATTGGCCACGATCGTGTAGTCTTAAAGTCTAATACATCCCGATCTTATCCTAATCCAAATCTCGTCTAGAGTAATGATATTTACAACCCAAACCAGTCCAAATTAACACTGGCATAAGCACAGGGTGGGTTGGATTAGCATCATATTGTATTGGAGTCATAATGTGTTGGGTCAAGTTTTCAAGTTTTACATAACTAAAATACATAAGATTATAAGTAAAAAAAAAAGCCTTATATTGACAAATTGGATCCATCTTCTAGATCATCATGTTATACTAATTACTCGGTTCGGTCTAAGTCAGTGTTGGAGTAATCCATTTTACATTGGTGATTAGTTGAGATTTATAAGCCACTGCAACTGAAAAAAATACTTAGATCGATATGAAAAATGGTCCAAGTGGATGACAAACTGTGCTTTCTAAAATTTTATATTAGAGGTAAATTCATGATTTCATCGTACAAACAGTGACACTTTTGTCACTAAAATCTGCTAGTTGGCACTTCAGTCTAAAAGTTTAAATCCTGAGATGAGACATGATCTTTGGTTTTATATTCTTAACAGTCCTCCTCATGTGTGAGTAGTAAATTGACTCAAAACTCAAACACATGACACTTAAATTGATTGATCCTGTATGGTATTTGAACACAAACCTTTCACTCTTCTACCATCCTCCATCTAAAAATTTAAGACATTAGATAAGACATGATCTTTCATTTTATATTTTAACAGAATCTTCCAAGGTGGATAAAGCAAATTGGTAGGTCATGATGCAATGAACCATATATGGTGATTGGACAGATCACATGTACAATTACAGAGTTGATGATGTTATTGTTTTTTTTTTAAACTTTATATAAGAAACAAAAAAAAAATCATGAATCCATCACATAAACCATTGCATTGCTTGTTGTCAAATCTGCTAAAGATCATCATCCACCCCTCCAAAAACTCTTTGGATTATAGTTTCAAATTTGTGAATGCTTCTTTACTTGTAGCATTTGAAACTGCCTTTATGTAGAAACAACAACATTTTTGCTTGACTAATCATTCTCTGTTTTATACATCCACCAAAACCTCCATGAGGTTATAATTGGACTGACCCTTCATGAAAGCAGGAATTACTTTCAGACAATGTTGACAGATGGGAATAATAAATGGTCACTGGACTTGTCACAAGTAAAACTGCAGTGTCATGAAAGCAAAGTGCGGATCAATGATGCACTTGGTGAGTTGAACTCACTAGTCACTGAAAGGAAAATGAGATACTGATGTGATGTGTGTGGTCAATGCAAGTCTTTGATATCATAAATGGTAGGTGACAAGTCAATGGCAAGACATATTAAGATGGCCATAGTTGTTAGGTGGAATTTTATGAGATTGTTGACCATTAACAGCAAAGCAATTAGGCAGCTTATTAATTCCTCATCAAGTGTGCAATTATTATAAGAATATTTTGTGCTACCTTAAGCTATTAAAGAAAGTGGAAACACAGCCAAACATTTTTATTATTATTCAAACAACTTAAGTTTTAGTAAATGTGATAATCCAACTGATGATTTTATCATGATAGCAAAATATCAGAGCGGGAATTTGAGGATTGAACCATTGTGTCAATCCACACTTGAGAGTGTGTCATGATGATAAAAATATATTAGTTATATATATAAGATTCATAATTTTGTGTACTGATCTTGTACTGGCCAGGGTTTGGACCGATACGATACTATCAGTACACTGATATGTACCGAGTATCGAAAAAAAAAATCTAAAAAAAGACTGAAAAACAAAAAATAGAAACAGCTAAATACAGAGTCTGTATCGCCTTGTATTGGACGGTACCAATCCTGTATCAAGCGTAGTGCCTGGTTTATGCTGATCTGTGTATCGATAACCTGTCAGAGCCAATAGGTAAATACCCATCCATCCGTACTGTACCGGACCGGATGGTATTGCAAACCTTGATTATATAATGAGTTGATAAATGATAAAAGCATGACATGATTATGAATATCAAGCTATGAGAAAGGAGAAGACACATAATTTGAAGAAAACGTTGACAATAATTATGACAACCAAAGTAAGAGTTCATCAACAAAAATATACAAGGATGAACCAAGTGCATTGTATTATGAGGATTTGAGAAAAGTCGATTAACACAATCTTACCTCTGCGAGAAGAGATGTTTCTCTGGTGCAAAAGAACAATCATACTGTTATATCAAAGCTCTTCCTTGACACACAGGATTGTTCAATTTACAGATGGTGTTCATCTTCCATTGCCCACTGCATCACAGCAGCCTTAGTAGCACTGTCACAACAAAAGCAGATGCAGTAAACACCGTAATCCAAGCAGTAGTTCTATATTCTGCTCTTAAGATCAAGTAATGACTATAACAAGCCAGAGTCAGCGGATGACATCTTTAGACATGGCATTATTTTCATATCTATGCAAATTTACCATGCAAAACATCCTGGGACCAATATGGGCAACTACATCAGCTGGTATCAAGCAACAAATTTCACATGCACCAGACTTTCTCACTAGAAGAGCCTACGAGCAGCAAGCCATTTCCGTGGCCTACAGCCACCATTGTAACATGAGTTTTCAGTATTCTGTTTTTAGCACTTCAAGATCATATAATTGAAAAGCCTAAGAACGGATGGAATAGAAGCTTTCCACTAGGAAGGTAGCAAGCAATTTTAGTTGGACAGGAAGACAATGAAATGCTTCCTTGTGCATCTTCTTTGTTGACAAATATCCCAAGTTTTACCACCAAATATTAGTGCTTTCAGATATATCTGGGAAGGTCAGAGTTCCATGGTCTTATATTTACAGAGTGAAATAGGAAATTTGATGGATTTCATAGCGTTCAACTTGTTTCTTTGTGATACATTAGTCTAAAAGCCAGATGTCTTGTGGATGTGTAGGATTTTTGGCATAAATCGTTCTGATCACAAGCCGCAGGCTGTGACCAAGTTCATCTGACTGCTCTGCAATTTGTGACCATACCGAATGCACAATTTAATTGCAACACACTTCTTAAGTAAATGTTGCTTGTTAATCTAACTTTTCCTGTTTCCTATTGTCCTTTTCATCTTAATATTTAGGATTGCTCAACCTGATAAACCTCGTCGTGTAGCTGAAATCAACAATGAATCCAAGAAAGAATAATCTACAGTGTCTGACAAAATGTCATACGAAGATGAGACAAATCGTTCGCTGGTATTCCTCTCCATGACCAGCAAACTCAAGGAATGGCTTACCCTACCTGGGTTGTGAGAGGTCAGAGTCTTACCTTTCGTTTCGCTTGTAGAAGGAGTCCCTTTTACACCGGAGATTGTTCTGACGTCGTCTTGACCGAGTGCAGAAACCCTTCGAGTGGGAATCCTAGCAATAGGCGATCGAGGTGCGGAGGATGAATGGGCTGCGCCGACGTGAGGATTCAAGGGTTTCGTTTCACGCAGATGGGAGACAAAGCCCCATCACAGCGACGGTGCTTTGGCAACATTACAAGCTTGAATCCATGACCATGGCGAAGGCTTGCGACAAAGGCCGAGCTTTGGATGTCGCAAGTTGTCCGTCTCTCCTGAGACGAGGAACAGGTTTTGTCCCTGAGAAGGGCTCCACCTGTCCCAATGTCGCCTGGCGTTTGAGTTGAGAACCTGTTTCCTGTCTCGGAGCGAATCCACAAGGGGAACCCACGCTGTCGAATCTGTGGGACGATGCTTTGGAACCGGACTTAAGCCACGATTTAACAACGACCGGGGGAACGTGACGCGCGCTGCCTCCAGTCGTGTAGTAAGGCAGTGCGTGGAGTCGCGTCCCTTGAACCCTACATCCTTCACCGCGTTTCCGCCTCTTGCCCTTGCGCTCGCCGTTTGCTTCTCGGACCGCTCTCCGATCCCCCATTCTCCTCGTCTTCTGATCTATCTTCATGGAGATCTGGGGTAATCGCTCTAACTTTTTGCTATTTATTTTCCTCCCCATCTCTCTTCTCTTTTCGTTCGCTTTAGTTGATATGATCGATTGTGGGTAGAGTTTCCTGTTCGATGAAATTGGCTATAATTATTTGCATTAATTCATACGAGCGCTGGTTTCTATTTCCCCTCTTAACATGCGATCGCTAATAATCTAATTAGCTTTTGGATGTTCGATTGGTTCTCTTTCTCTCTCTCATAATATTTGTCGGTGTCAATGCCATTAAATGTTGCATCTGCATTTCGAAGGAGAATTTGCTCTGTCCTTTGGGTTCTTATTCTTCCTTCTTTTGGTCATCTTTATTTTCGCATGTCGTATCTATTTGCGTCTCACACAATGCGCTTGTGGTGTCACCGACAGTATCACAATTTATAATACAGCGAAAAAGTCTTTTTTTTCATATAGTTTTCTTTTCCTCTGTGTACCTGAAGCAGTTCATTCTCCTGAGTTATCTTCACGGAACTTCTGGTGGAAAACTATGATGAATATGAGAAACCCTGTAGTGTAGCAGTGTTGTATAAAAAAAAGGGGCGCTCGATGATAAGAATGTTCATTCCGGGGGTGAGTTTGTATTTTAAAGTTGTTTGATTAACATTATGAATGCTGATTATTATCACTGAGATGAAGAGTGAGCCAAAGCATCATAGTAATATTGATCCTGTGCAACCTGGTTTAAATCAGAAGCTTCCTATTTACTGTCCCCTTTTTACTATCGACAATCCTACCCTGCTCGTCGCCCTCTCAACATTCTCCTCTAAATTGTCACGGACAAAACTATAAATAAAGTGTTCGATATAATTCTCGTGTATGTTTGTGTTTTTCGATTTTGTCTCAGTATGTAAAAGGCTTGCATGAAGCTTGACAGCCCCAATCTTCTTGGCTTTTGTAGTCATTTCAGATTTGTAAATGCAGGTTGTGTGCAATCGTCGCACAGAGGCAAAACTACCCGTAAACAAACCATCTAAGTAATCATTTTGGGGGTTTTCTAGCTCTGTAGGTTGGTGCAGAGTGTCAGCTAGTGTAGCATCTAGGAGCTATGTGAGTGGCACATGGTTGGATAAGCCTTGGGGTTAGTGTTTAGGGCTGATTCGTTGCCTGTTCCGCAATAGTATCATGTGAGCATTTGTGAGGACTTTTGACCATGGCGGACCATCTTGGACCTTTTGTAGCGTGACCGTTCAGAACTTGTGAAGTCCATGCATGTAATTTGCAAGTGTTTGCTGAAATAGATGCTTGTGGATATTAAGTTAAACACTTTCTCTGATCCGTCTTCTCTTTTATAGGTTCTTAAAGGATAAAAAATGATCCTTTGCGGACGAACACACAAGGGTGTCACATGACTTAGGCAAAACCAGCTAAGTCCGTGACAAATCGGAGGAAGGAAAAGAAGAAGATGAGGAAGAGGATGATTTTCATCCATTTGCAAATGTGTAGTTTAGAAATATAAAAAAAATTTAAAATGAGGTTGTAGAGAGTAAAAAGGGGTTACAAATAGTAATCTCCTTAAAGCACAGAAATAACCACTTTGCTTGTAAAGGTAAATCGTCTACATTGACCCCCAAACCTTGTTTTGGCAGGAGCTTTGTGCATTTGGATATCCTTTGTCACCGGTACTAATAAGATAGTGTGCATTCCATGGCCACCATGTAGATGTGTTCTGCAGCAACATACTGGTTAATAGTTTCCAATTTGTGGCAATTGGGAACATTGAGCAATTGCCACATTGAGAAGTTAGTGGCTCGTGTTTATTTGTGAGAAATTCTCCCACTTGTAGTTGACAGGGGCTTCTAAAATGAATGTTCTTTCTTTCATATAGTTCATCTTCTTCATCTTCCTTTATTAATATATTATTGAACTCACATAGGAAGCTGTGTTGTATATAAGTCGCATGAGGATGCATATATGCCTTGAAAACCAAGTTTCATTTTTTTTTCTCTGTTAAAAAAAAATCTTATGTTGTGCACTCTGTTTCTCACCTGTAGCATTGTTTTGATTATTTTACCAAAAAAATTTCAGGTATGGAAATCAAACCGGAAGAAACTGTCAAGGACAATCCTGGAGAGGAACAAATATGTGCATCTTTCTCAGGTGTTAAATGGGCACATATAAGATGAACTTATTCCTGAGTATTTCTTTTGAATATGTTTTTATTACCATGCAGACTTGATTAGGGGAGAGTAAGAAGAAGCATCATGGAAATGAGAATGTATTAATCTATGTGAAATTTAACAACTAATAGCTAGTATTTGGAACACTCTCTGCAGAGAGATGTGCTCAAATTCAATATGGATTGGTTTCTGAGAAAGAATTTGAACTATCTTACGGCTCAAATAATGAGAGTATCTACTTGTGTTGCTATAAAACCGTTGTTCTTGAGGAAGATGAATATCTTTATGACTTTCCTGTGGAAAGCAAATTTTCCTGGTAGTTCATTTCTAATGCTCAATGTAAACAGATGCTTGCTATTGTGGAGTTGAATAAGGCTGATAAGCAGAAGGCAAATAGGGATGTTGATGAGGATGACAACGACGAAGACGGTGGAGGATGAATCTGATGATGACAAGGCCTGTATAGGGCTGTCAAAATATTTGCTTTTCTTGTTTGATGAGTTTTTGCGTTTTCTTGCAGCATCATTGTTTTGGAGGCCATCTTTTTCCTGTATCAATTTAGATCCTTAACATAGTCTATCAAATTTCATGAAGAAAGATATTTACTAATGCTTCATATTAGATCATCATCTAATCAGCATGCTTTCAAAATGTGAATGCTGTTGTTCATGGATAATCCTTATTGATATTCTTTCTTTCAGGATATCGTGGAAGATGACGACAAAAATGAAAGCTCGGATGAAGAAGATGAAGCTATCGGTAAAAGAGTACATAGCTTCTTTTTGCATATATATTCGGTTATCAGTTATTTGGATGCAACTGTTCAAATTACTGGGAAATATTTTGTAATTGTAATAGCTTTTTCCACAGGCTGGACCTTCTAACGAAGGAACAGTTGACCAATATTAAAATCACAGGCGATGCTTGTAAGAGAGAGGGCCATTCTGCGACACCCCGTCCTGCAAAACAAGGTGACAATGGCAAGTATGTCTTTTGTTCGATTCTTGTTTCTTCTTAGATATGAAACAATTCTAGTGTACAGTTATATCTCTTGTTTTTTGGGTTTTCATATCAATTTTTTAATCTAACATATCTGCTTGGACAGGGAATAACTTGTTCTCATCATCATATCTATCCACTCGGCACCCCCTTCAGCTCTAAACCTGGAATCCTCATGGCCCATTTCTTTCGGTCAAAAGGTTCTTTACTGCTATATACTTTTCTATACACAAGATTGGCATCTCGAGACACCCAAGAAACGAAAAGGATCTGCCTGCTGCGTTTCGACGCTAACTCTGTCTTCGAAGAAGGAATCGGTGGTCTACCATGCGGGACTTCAAATACGATTCTTCCCTGCCATGTTTGTTGTGCAGGAGATGGATAACAACATGAACAGGGAAGTAGCAGAGCCTGTTGGCTTCTCCCAAAGACTCCTCAACTTCCTCGTCAAGAAATCCAACCGTCAAGGTCAGCCAAACCTCGCCGGTAATACCCAGCAAGGAGACAGCAGCCGTTTCAAAGGCCAACCCTCCATGTCTCAGCATGTGGAGACTCGCGTCCCAGTTACTATCTACAAAGATGGCAAGCTCGGTTTCACTCCTCGGGTGGAAGTGCCGGTGGAGTACCAGGAACCCAGTGGATCCGCGAAGCTCCGGGAATCGAGATCAGCCAAGACGGAAGCAGACGTAGCAGTTGAGGCAGTAGCCGCCGAAGCAACCCCCCCACCACCACCGCCCAAGAAGGTTGCCAAGAAGTCCGTCACGATCAAGGTTGATATTGAAGACAGAGATGGCATCAAGAAGAAACCATCCATGTCGGCGAGGAGCGCCGCAGAAGAGAAGAAGTGGCTCAGGATGTGGAGCTGAAGAAGAAAGAGAAACCATGGAGTCCGCCATGCGAGGAAGGCAGACGACAAGTCAAATGTACTCGTGAAGCAGCAGAAATCCTTTGCCAAGCATGTTGTACTCTTTCGTGGAGTCCGTGAATGTAATAAGTGTGTTCTTGGGTTGCTCGGTTTCTTCGTCGTCCTCTTCTCCGATACGTGTCGGTTATTTGCTTGTGGGCGTGACCGTGATTAACTCCGAGATCAGGAATAAACCATGAACCCGGTTTATTCCTGATCGAACCGGCATCCGGTTCGGAATTGGATCGGGTGGGCTCCGCACCTTATAAATGCTCGGTCTCGGACGCGACGAGGGTTTCCGTGGCCGACTCGTAATTCCTCGTCCTCCTCCCCTCTTTTGCCATCGCCGCCGATCTTTCCTTCTCCGCCGACCGGCTTCCCTTCTTGTCTTTCTTATCGCTTCCGATCTCCACTTCTGCTACGCTGAGACCGTCGCCATGGTGAGAAAGGCGGCCACCGATGACCACCGATCCTCCGCTTCGGCGGTCTCTTCTTCGAGGCCGGGTAAGTCCAAGGAATCCGCCGCCGTCCCCAAGAAGGAGAAGATCTCCGTCTCCGCCATGCTTGCGTCCATGGACAAGCCCAAACCCTCCTCCTCCGCCGCATCCAAGAAGTCCAAGCCCAAACCCAAGCCTTCCTCCTACATCGATGGCATCGATCTGCCCCCCTCCGACGATGAGGAGGAGGAGATGGCCGAGGACGAGGTCGCCAAACGTAAAGCTCGATCCGCTGTTACCGACCTCGCTGCCGCCACGTTCTCGGACAAGGAGCTCAAGAAGCGGGAGAAGAAGGACCTTCTTGTTGCGCAAGCGGCCGAGCTGGCGCGGCAGGAGGTCCTCAAGGACGACCATGACGCCTTCACGGTGGTTCTTGGGGCCCGTGCCTCCGCCCTCGATCCTGATGGGCAGGACGCGGCGGCCGATGCTAACGTTCGGGATATTACCATCGAGAACTTCTCGGTTTCGGCTCGCGGTAAGGAACTGCTGAAGAACGCCTCTGTTAAAATCTCCCACGGGAAAAGATACGGCCTCGTCGGACCCAACGGGATGGGGAAGTCCACTCTTTTAAAGCTTCTTGCTTGGAGGAAGATACCCGTCCCACGGAATATTGATGTGCTCCTCGTCGAGCAGGAGGTGGTTGGCGATGACCGAACCGCCCTTGAGGCGGTCGTGTCCGCTAACGAGGAGCTCGTGAGGCTTCGCAAGGAGGTTGCCGCCCTGTCTGAGAAACCCGAAGGGGGAAATAATGATGACGACGATGATAGCGGAGAAAAACTCGCCGAATTGTACGACAGGTTGCAGATTTTGGGCTCCGACGCTGCAGAGGCCCAGGCGTCGAAGATCTTGGCTGGATTGGGGTTCACCAAGGAGATGCAGCGCCGGCCGACCAAGTCCTTCAGCGGAGGGTGGAGGATGAGGATATCTTTGGCCAGAGCTCTTTTTGTGCAGCCGACCTTGTTACTTCTTGATGAGCCTACTAACCATCTTGATCTCAGAGCAGTGCTTTGGCTTGAGGAGTACCTTTGCCGCTGGAAGAAGACGCTGGTCGTGGTGTCCCATGACCGTGACTTTCTTAACACAGTTTGCAGTGAGATCATTCATCTCCATGAGCTGAAGCTCAATGTCTACCGTGGGAACTTTGATGATTTCGAGAGTGGCTACGAGCAGAAACGCAAGGAAACAAACAAGAAGTATGAGGTTTATGAGAAGCAGATGAAAGCTGCAAAGAAGACAGGCAGCAAGGCTAGGCAGGACAAGGTTGATGAGCGGGCCAAGTTCGCTGCTGCCAAGGCGGCAAAGAGCAAAGCAAAGGGTAAGGTGGAAGATGATGATGCACCCCCACCCGAGGTTCCCAAGCGGTGGAGAGATTACAGTGTGGAGTTCCACTTCCCAGAGCCTACTGAGCTCACGCCACCACTTTTGCAGCTTATTGAGGTCAGCTTCAGGTATCCTAACAGGGAGGATTTCAGGCTTTCTGATGTTGATGTGGGCATTGATATGGGGACAAGGGTTGCCATTGTGGGGCCTAATGGTGCTGGAAAATCTACTCTGCTCAATTTGCTGGCAGGGGACTTGGTGCCCACTGAAGGAGAGGTGCGCAGGAGCCAAAAGCTGCGGATTGGGAGGTATTCCCAGCATTTTGTTGACCTATTGACAATGGATGAGAACGCAGTCCAGTATCTCCTCCGTCTTCATCCAGAGCAAGAAGGATTTAGCAAGCAAGAGGCAGTGCGTGCTAAACTTGGGAAGTTTGGCCTCCCCAGCCACAATCACCTCACACCTATTGCCAAACTATCGGGAGGCCAGAAGGCCCGAGTTGTTTTCACTTCTATATCAATGTCTAAGCCTCATATTCTTCTGCTGGATGAGCCCACAAATCATCTAGACATGCAGAGTATCGATGCGTTGGCAGATGCACTGCAGGAGTTCACTGGTGGTGTTGTTTTGGTGAGCCATGATGCTCGTTTAATATCACGTGTGTGCGAGGATGAAGAGAACAGTGAGATATGGGTTGTGGAAGAAGGTACTGTAAGAAAATTCCCTGGTAGTTTCGAGGAGTACAAGGAAGATCTTCTGAAAGAAATAAAAGCGGAGGTCGACGAGTAAAGGTATACATAGCTGATTGGTGCTGCTCTGAAGTGAGTTATCTACAATTGGTTCCATATACGATAGCCTATTTCCAGCTTCAAACATTTTAAAATAATATCCTTTTGACAATTTTGGCAGCATTTCTCTTTGTTGTGTGATAGTCATTTAAACAGGTAAAATTCTAAAAACATATGTACTACATGGTTCCCAAGTCTGACTTTTTTGCTGTAGTACATTGAGTGTTGTCTCTGTGGACATGTTGCAGTTGTCCTTTATTTGTGGAGTTTTATCTTATATGCAATTGAAGGCTAAGAATATATATGTCAGCTTGTTTGGTAATCATGTTTTAAGAGTGTCAATACACTGGATAAGATTTGTGTACAAGTAATTAATTTTGCAAGTTGTGGTTTTGTCCAACTTTATCCATCGTATCATTTAAGACTTAAATTTATTCTTTGGATTGATCGATGTAGTAATTTTTGTTGCTTGTGCCTGTTGTAGGCATTTCATATAGCTAACATGGGACTAGCACTAACATACTGCATTTTGAATGATTGATGACAGTGATTGTTACATGTAATGGTTAATTCCTCGAGAACTTTAAAGCAATCGGTGAAGTTGCTCTATGGTAGTTCTGCCAGATGATTCACATCTTAAGGATTGTGTTCCATTTCATCGAACAAACAATTCAACTATCTATTGTACAAATAGGCCTTTAATATGCCATTGAAAAATTTTGCATGTGCTTAACAAGAATGACTCCAGGTGTTGGAGATTTGTAACCAATTAGGTTTTTTTTTCCCCTAATTATGTCCTGATTTTCATTTCTTGTTATTAGATTTTAGGAAAGAAATATGTCATGTTCCATGTTTGGTCGTGTCATTTACCTATCGGTTTATTTTTCTTTTAATCTGCTTTCTAAAATGACACAATCAAACATGGAATATGAAATAGAAATGGAAATCAGTTAATCAGGACATGATTACGGAAAAAATATCTAGTTGATTACAAGGTTAGATTTGAATAGTCTTTGCTGAAAGAGAGAAATAACAGTCCTTTTACGAATCCCTGATATTTTATTTTCGTTTGATTTTGTGATCTCAAGTTACAAATTTTCAAGTAGGTGATAGGTTTTTGCCACCTCAGTGTTCCACTTTTTGGTTCCTTAATGGCTTGAATTTGTAGTGTGTTTGAGTCCCATGCACTATGCTGTGGATTATTTTCTTTTTTGGGTGGCTGTGTAATCTTAGAACTGGACTGACAAATTTATCAGAGAGGAACTTAGGATAATAAAATGGTTAAAAAATTCAAGTTTCTGTTGCCATAAGGACACTATTAAAAGATAACTTGTTCATTCTATGATAGTGCATCTCTTAATAGCAAGGAGAGAGATGGTTGAAATTGGATATGATGGAGCACATTGTATGTGACAGACATGACCTTATGATGCTTCAGTATTTTGTTCTTTTTTGATCAACCCTTCAGTGTTAATACAAGAGCATGACACCTCAAGGCTTTTCAGTAGGATTTAATTTGCTGAACTGCTGCAATATGGTTAAGAATGAGGACTCTTTGATGCATTCATGTTGGAACTGATGATCTATTTCGATTGTGCAAAGCTACAGTTCTGGCCAAGCAACTGCTCTCTATGTTGTGGATACCTACCTCACTGAAGATTTGGTTGGGGAGAATTCAGGCTTGTAAGGATGTCTTCACTCTTTATTTTCTTTTGTGTTGTATAACCATACTTTCTTAATATGTTGTATTATCTTCATGTTTAGTTATAATTCATTTTTCATTGGAGTTTCTTGTTGTTTTTACAACTCATTTAACATGTTCTGATTTCCTGTAGAAATACTCACAGCCTGATTGTTTCTTAAATTCCTGTTCATCCAAATTTCCATAGTGGAGAGTCTCAGTGAGATGATCCAAATTTCCATCATGTCCCTTCTATGGTTTAGGTAACATCAACACAAACATGCTTCCATTCCCTTTATGAATCAGTATTTTTCACAATCTCAATCCTTACTTGTTGACTGACAAACCAAACACTTAATGTCTCTCCACATTTCAAAGTTCATTTGGAGGAAGAATGCTGAAAATAAAGATAATATATTTGCTTTCATCTTCATCCACATTCTATCACTTAAATTGATTCATGTTTCCTAGAAATATGCAGCAATTTACATCAAGCACCACAGTACAAAACCATAGAGTGACATGATATAGAAATCTCTTTGGACATGTCCCCTGCAAACTTACACACGGGTAGGTTGGCCAAGGAATCATAGAATTGCAACTAAGATGACTCCTTAATCGTGGCGTTCAAAGAAAGAAACACTAGTAGAAATATATGTTCTCATCTGGGTGTCACAGAGCCAAGGAAGTTACTATGTTGGCATCCTCCAACGCAACATATGTATATATATATATATATCACAACTCTAATTATTGGGTGATGTCTATGGATTGCAGAGGTCAAAATCGAGGACAGGTCTCAATCTCACGAGCTAAGTCCTTGGCCAACCTATCCGCTCGATCATCTTGTCCTCCGGCGAAGTTGTAGACTCGAAATGCCAGCTGAAAAGCCCGCCACAGCATCGTGGAGAGGCCATTAGGTTTGGACTTGGTTTCTCCACCCATTTCCCTCGTCTCCTGTGGGTAAAAGGAATTCAACATGGAGAAACACACAGAGGTCAACATTTTAGCAAGGCCACAAGTAATTAACAATATCTGGATGGAAATGTCAGTATCATGCAACCAAAATGCCAAGAACAGAGCAAAATCATGTGGGAGAATCATCAACAAATAATTCTTCAATTCATCTTGTTCGTCTTCTCCATTACTGTCATGCTGAAAGCTGGATCCCAGCTGAAGGTCAGGTTTATAACTAGGTGGAGATTAATGGATGGGAAAGCTTCCTTACCTCGAGCGCCATTTCTATGCAATCCGATGATAAATCAACCATGCCTTCCTTGATCCTTACGAGGACGGTGAAGTCAAACTCTATTTTGTGGTTTTTGAATCGTGTGGAATCTTCTTCTTTGTTGCGTTCTATCACTTCCATTGCTTCCTTGATCTGCATACGTAAAAGTGATCAGATGCCATCAGACAAATAATTAAGTTCACAGTGGATCAATCATGTAGGTATTAGTTCATCAACATTCTACCAAGTTACCTTGTTGAAGTAGCATTCGACCTTGGGAAGCTGCTGGGCAATAGGAGCAGCTAAACTCCATCCCTTTAATGTAGTGACCACTGAATCCAGCTTCATATATAGAGCTGCTGCCATCCTTATGGTCTCCAATTTCTTCGAGGGAAAGCCTCCAAACCTAGCCAGAACCTGCAGCCATGAAAAACTTATAATAAATAGCAGAAGACTTTCTTCGCCTTAAGACAAATAGCTGAAGCTAAAAAATATATATACAACCAAATGGAACGATCAGTTCCCTAATCTTGAGAAGCATTAAGTTTTGGTTCCTTGTGGAGGTGGCTTCAAAGTATTTGACCCATCAAATGCTCTCAGGGATGAGGGATCACCCCAACCATTATCTCCCCAAAAGGAAAACATATACTTGAGTAACCACTAACGTAAATTTGCAGCAAAAAAGTGTCGAGTCTGCTCTACCTGTGTTTCATCAGTCAGGTTTTCAAGTTGTTGTTCCACATGCTGGTGAAATTTTAACAGATCCTTCATGTCCTTGGTCTCAAAGGAATTAATCGAGGATCTCAGCTCCATAATAGATGCAGAATGCTTTTCAACATCTTCTTCAATTTGCCGAAAGTAGGCTGATCTAATCGATGCAAGCAAATACAATGTAACTGATATTGAACTATGCCAATCCCCCAAAATCACAAGTCCTGCCCTCTTACTATAAGAGTTTGAGATTTCGGTTATACTTACCTCTTTGTCATCTCAGCTAATGCATCAGCCATGCCCTGAGACTTTTTACCATCAGAGCAGTTTCCAGTCTGACTTTTCCTCCCATTGGATGGTTTGCCATCCAAACTACAGCCCTCCACCTTTCCTTTTAGAAGCCTGTATAAACTTCCCATTTGCGTAGATCTTTTCAGTTTGGTACTAGTTTTCTTTGCATTGATTGCTTTTGCCACACTCGGCGGAGGTGGTGGTGGTGGTGCAGATCCTTTTGGAGATGGCAAGGATGGCAGTTGATTTGATGATGCACATGGTGGAGATGGGGATGCTGACAACACACAACCTCTAGGTGGAGAGGGTGGTGGAGGGACTGGTGCAGACTTGCTGAGCAGCGAGGAAGAGGATGATAGTTGTGGAGAAGGTGCAGGTTCTTTTTTAAGTTGCACTGGTGATAGTGGTGGAGAAAATGAGGTTTGAATTTTTGGTGCACTTGCTGCTGAGGATGATTGTGGTGAGACAAACAAGGATGTTTCAGAAGGTTCACAAGTACAGACATGATCACTATCATCTATGGCCATAGCATATGCAACCGGTTCCATCTCCATTCCAGAATGTCTAGGTGAACCAAAGAACCATGGTATTCCAGTTAAAACCATAGGCGAAGGAGGTGGTGTAGGAGTTGGCGATAAATGTGTTGCTCTCAGGCGTAAGATTGGTAGAGTTGGGGGGACCAGAATAGTGGAATCAGAAGTCTTGCTACTAACATCCTCATCCCGGTTAATGTTAACAGCATGTGAGACTTGCCCTGTACAAGTTGGTCGAAGTGTACCTGGTGTAGAAGACTCAAACATGTCGGACGGTAGAGATGATGAGGCTGGTGGTGTTGAGACAAGTGTTGCATCTTCATAAGTTTCACTTCCATCAGCATGACCATCACTTCCAATCTCAGCATATGATATTGGCTTCAGGACCATGGTAGCATCTAGTGAATCTAGCTCAAGCTCATCAGTTATGTTTTCTGTTTGAGTCACAGCCTTGGATCTGTGATCTAATACTAAAGGGAAAAGATGGAAGGAAAGCCTCTTCAAACCCAGAGGTTTTAACTTTCCAACAGCCTGAAGCCGTAGAGGATGGAGAAGAGGTGGCAGGTAGGCAATATTTTGGCTTCCCTTGAGATTTGGGTTCACTTCTGATGGTTCCGGTAGCACTGAAGTTGGTGATTGTGGCTTGTCACAGTGGTCAGGCTTGATGAGATCTTCCTCTGATTTCAAGGTACTAGCTGAATCCTTCTTCATAAGATCAAACATTTCTTTTATATGTATGTTTATGCGATCAAGCCTGTTGAGGACTACCACACCTAAAATATGAAACAAAAATCATCAAAAGAGCAACGGTGTTTTTGTATAGCAGTCATTTGTTCCTAGCATCACTTGATTAAACATAGAAGGGGAGCTTACCAAGTTGCTCAAACTTTAAATCTTCTACATCTGCCTCCTCAAATGTGATCTTGTCTGACTCGCGACATTTTTCGACCCATAAATCTCCAGCAAGTTTGAGTACCTTGTAGAAC